TCATGTTTGGTTACATATCATCCACCACTGTCCTATCATCCTTGGTGACGTATCATCCACCACTGGCCTATCATGCTTGGTGACATATCATACACCACTGGCCTATCATGCTTGGTGACGTATCATCTACCACTGTCCTATCATGCTTGATGATGCACTAGCATACGTGGCGATACGTCACCAAGCATGATAGGACCGTGGTGGATGATATGTCACCAAGCATTATAGGACAGTGGTGGATGATATGTCACCAGGCATGATAGGACAGTGGTGGATGATATGTCACCAAGCTTGATAGGACAGTGGTGGATGATACGACACCAAGCATGATAGGACAGTGGTGACGTATCATCCACCACTGTCCTATCATGCTTGATGATGCACTAGCATACGTGGCGATACAGTCTTGCCTTGTTCTGTAAGTCCTAACAAATTTGTAAATTTTGTTTATATTTGACTACAGAGTTGTGAGTTGGTCTCAGTATGAGGTGATATCAGTACAGTTGCCTCTTATGACATGCAGGGGGTTACATCAAGTGACGTGTGTGTGGTGACAGGCGGATGTGACGTGTGTGTGGTGACAGGCGGAGGTGACGTGTGCTGACCCTCTCTGTCGTCATCACAGCCGGTAGAACTCCGTGTCCGATGATGCCCGGCTGACGTTGGTGTTACGTTTTGGGTGGGCTACCGGCTGTCTGTAATACAAAGAAATTACATAAATTTTACTGAAGATGCTGTCATTGCATGCTATGAACCACCAATCGGGTTCTGAACTCGAGCATTTATTTTATAAAATATCTGAAGATAATCATTTTGAATCCCAAGACTTGCCGTGTTTGATTTCAGTTTGAGCTTAAGCTTGATACAACAGAAACCTTCTATAGGCAGACACAAAATAACACATACCCGTAATCGTTACATGAAATATACATATCTGGCGGGGTTTTTTTCTTGGTATTTTTTCTGGAATGCAATTAAGAGCGTGAAATTTTCAAAAATACACAAAATATCAACTTAAACTATGAAATGTAACAAGTTTCGTGAGCCTGTATCTTAAGTTTTACCATCCAGGTACCTTTATTACATACGATATCATAAATATTTGATCTGGCTGAACTGTAGGATAGACAAAGATCAGAAACAGTTATAAATGCATGCTGGAGGGGGAGTCTCCAGCAAGAAAGGTGCGGTTCAATGCTGTTTATTTATTGTCTGTAATATTAGAACGAGTAGACTTTTTCTCGAGACTCACATTTGTACGTATCTGCTGAAGGTATTCTCTCTCGGACAGGATAACGAGGGATTCAATTAGCCACGGTCATGCTGGGATGTGATTCGGTTTAAATATAAATATATCAGTATCGCTCCGCTAGTGAGATATCGCCCAATTTAAACCTTCCTCAGCCATGGACCTCCTAGGGCAAACTTTAAATATAAACCTGTAGCTATACAGGAAAGACACAAATGAGGCAAACATCAACGTTACACTTTTGTTCATTGTTAAAAAATATATTTCTCCAGGTAATCAAAGCATGTACCACTGGGCCAGACACAATAAAACAATACGTACCCAGGTCAATACAAAAACAGTAAACGAGTCAAAAAGTACATGACATAACAACACACAAATCAACTTGAAATCATGCAGGTCCTACGTAAGCATGACTTTTGTATATGGCACCCATCATCATGTCTCAAATACAAGCTCACCGGGGTAATGATTGTGGATCAACTTTGAAACAAGGTCGTACTTTGACGTGTACGCATTGACATTGGGTTGAAAATGAACGTTTTCTGGACGTTAGAACCACGTATGTACAGCTTGATTTCTACATGGAAACACGTTGTTCAGACGTCAGAAACTGCCGTAGTATGGACGTCAGAAATTAGAGTGGAAACAAGGACAACCTACTGTTCACAGCACTCAGGGTACCGAGCCCGGTCTGAGATTGCCAGACTAGCCTAAAACACAACGTAGAAGAAGTAGCCGTTGCAGGCAACCTCTTGGTTAGCTTATTAGCTTTGTCACGGAATCAGCCGTTTGATCGATCTGTCTGACCGGCCTTTGCCTCCTTATATGTGTCAGTGCATCCTATAAGTATCCAGTTTATTTGCATTACTAAAACATTTACTTTAAAAGGAAAACACATCTTACAATGTATACAGCATAAACAATCTTTATCGGTAGGATATTAAAATGTTTAAAACTATTTCTTTTACCACAAACCAACGAATCAAAACTAATTATCTGAATTAATTATCATATAACAGGAGAGCATGACCAGACCGGAATTAGAACCCGGGACTCGGAACTCTACACGGGTTCTCTAACTGATTGAGCTACCTAGTTGCCGGCGATCGACACAGTCCTGTTTCGTTTATTGAACGTTAGTCCAATGGAAATAAATCAAAATACAGACATGTACAATAAATTTTGGATCGGACATACGGGCACGAGTCGAAGCAAAAGCCTCGATTTATAAAATTCAAATCCAACTTAAATCTAACGTTGAAGTGCCTGCTGGGAAAGAAATGAAAAATGCGGCCAAGTTTAATGGCCCCTATCGTGATCTCGCTGGGAAATGTTCTAATTTCTAGTGTGATATGATGATCGATGTTTTTGAATTGGTCCATTACTGTGTCTTGTTGTTTTATTGTCACTACCCCGGTTCTCGGTATGAGGACGTGACATTACTTGGATCTGACCTAGATTTACATGGCGGGTGTCGTCAATGGAACAGAAGACGCCTACCCTTCCGGAACATCCTTACCTATTCTCTTTATACTTTTCAAAGGTTAGCTTTGCTCATATTTTCCTTTTTCTTTAGATTTTTAATTTCTAATTACAGTTCTGCTGTCTCTTCAGTATTCTCTTACCACTAAGCAAGCGACTTTATTGGTGGCCAGTCTCATCACCGAGGACACTACGGCAAGGAGCACTTGTTTTATTCACGGGCTGAGAAAAAAACGGGATTTTTTTTGCTGACTCGGTGCAAAGTATACAAAATGTCTCCCATGGTGTATTTCACAGTTACACAATAAGTTGTTACCGGCTAGGCATCTGATTTTTCTAAAAGTTGTACGTGTCAGACCTTGCAAACTCAGATCTTAAATTGGTTATTTGACTTTTAAGACAGGCCAGTGCTTGAACATTTCAAAGGTGGAATTAAAAATTGTAACATACTGCATTTTTATTACTGACAGGACTTACAGCGATTCCCTCACTAAAATTATTCTGCCAGATGATTTCAACTGCAGAATTTAAAACATGACTACAATGCTGGCTATTATATTGAGTGTACTCTCTGTTGAAACAAAAGGACGATTACGTCACCGAACGAATTATCACCGTTTGGTAGTAAACCGCGGAGAAAAACAACGTTTATATGGATATTTTAACCTCACGGACCTTTTTATCCTGCTTCTGACTGTCCTTGTTTTGGGAGAAAATATCGCCCAACATTAAATTACTGGTACTGCAGACATGGAAAGTACCTTTGCACAAGACACTTTGGCATTGCTACGTCATATTGATATACTGACCAAGTAGATTATGTAGGAACTTGGTTTAGTCTAGGATGAAGTCAATCACATGGCTGAACATCGGCACTGCAGCATGTTAATCCAAACACAATAGTACGTACAAACAAAATGTTCAAATCGGTTTTTAAAGGTCCCTAAACGATGGTCACTGTTTGGTTTAATTATGCGTAACGTCTTAGAAGCATCTAAGGTCATTTAAGGACGAAGTAACTAAGAAAAGCATCCGTGTTAAACTGATTGATTAGGCGTTAACGCAGGGTAGGTTGGCCTGTCACATGTTTAATACCGCATATGACCAGCGTTTGTGCCGAGTACAGCGTTGTAGCGTCGTCGCTCTGAACTCGTTAATGTGAACGGGCTTCTAGTCCCATTTATCGATCACTGCTAGAGATCATTGCTAGAGACCATTGCTAAAGACCATTGCTTGATATCATTGCTAGAGACCATTGCTAGAAATCATTGCTAGAGATCATTGCTAGATATCATTGCTAGAGACCATTGCTAGAGATCATTGCTAGAGACCATTGCTAGAGAACATTCCTAGAGACCATTGCTAGAGACCATTGCTAGAGATCATTGTTAGAGACCATTGCTAGAGAACATTGCTAGAGATCATTGCTAGATATCATTGCTAGAGGTCATTGCTAGAGACCATTGCTAGAGACCACAATAAAACATTGGTGTTGATATATACAGTATATATACTACTCACATTTTGCTAAGGATCACTTTTATTTTGGGGCATATGTGAAAATGAATATTTCATTTGGTTTATACTGGGATTATTTTTGAAAAAATAATTTGTCCTTTTAATTTATCAGCATGCAAAACTTCCAAAAATCGTAATTACAGTCGGAAAATGAGCCACAGGTTAAGGGTTACCTTTAAAATTGGTAACAACGTGGTATTCACCAAAAAACTTAAATTGAACAAAACTCATCCTAAATAAACAGAAACTGTTTTAGTATCGAGTGTGACGCCCATGAGTATCAATTGCAGCTTCACAACGTATGCGCATGCCCCGAATGAGATCGCGTATCCGTTTTTGTGGTATAGCGTTCCACGCAGCTACCAAAGCTGTTCCAAGCTCATGTAGCGTTCTTGGCTGAACATTTCTGGCAGAGAGAGCTGTCTGCAGCATGTCCCACACATGCTCGATGGGATTTAGATCCGGCGAGAGGGTTGGCCAATCCTTTCGTTGAATAGTCTCTTGCTGTAGATACTGCTCATTCACCCTTGCTCTATGTGGCCTAGCACTATCGTCCATAAGGATGAAGTCAGGGCCGATAGCGCCAGCGTAGGGAGATTTCATCGTAGTAAATCCGGGCCGTAACGGTACCATTATGGAATACATGGAGATCAGTTTTCCCACGAAAGCTTATGCCTCCCCACACCATCACTGAACCTCCGCCATATTGGTCACGTTCCACAACGTTACCTGCCTGGAACTTCTCCCCATGTTGTCTCCATACTCTAACGCGTCTGTAGGTGAAGTCGAGACAGAATCTGGACTCGTCAGTAAAAAGAACCTGTTCCCATTCCTGAAGAGTCCAAGTACTGTGACCTTGGTCCCAATCTAATCGGTCCCTAACATGTCGGACAGTTAATGGAACTCGTATTGCTGGTCTACGTGACCTTAAACCAGCATCATGAAGACGGTTCCTAACTGTCTGAGTGGCTACCCGGGTACTAGAAGCATTTAGGAGGTCATTTCTTAAAGTTGTGGCAGTCTGGAACCTGTGACGGTCTTGGCGCTGCGTTGTAGCCATAGAACGACCTCAAGCATGACGTCTGGAAGGGTTTCCGTTAGTTTGAAAACGAATCGACATTTTTACCACCCACTTTGAGACACCCCAAGGTCTGCTGCAACCTGACGTTGAGACATGCTAGCTTGTAGCATTCCGATGCCCCTATTCATTTCACCGTCATTTAACCGTTGTCTGGTTCGTCTTTGTGCCATATTAACACAAATGATTTCCTTAACAATTTAAACAACGCCTTACTTAGCATAGCTTAGCTTTTGAAAGAGGTGCACATGTGGAAAAGCGTGCACGCGCTTTTATGGTTGACTGAACACACCCACACAAGACGATTTGGAATGCTAACATATTCACACAAAACAGTACGGAAGGAAAATATAATATCCTTCCCAACATTTTGATTTTTTTCTTCTTCAAAATATAGGTGATCCTTAGCAAAATGTGAGTTGTATATATAAACGTAGCTTGTACCTATTGGTCTGAAACTTTATTCAAATGGTACATTACTGATTTCGTTTAGGACAATAAGGCAATGGAGTATGATGACGCATAAAATGGTTCATTGGCATGGCATTTCATTCTCTTTTGTATCCAAACTGTATATTACGAAATGACACCTTATTTAAGTCAATTCATATACCTAAGGCATTTGGAGCTTATATTCTCTTTTACAAGCTGATTACTAAACTATGTATTATGAGTACATTCGTAACATGTTATCATAAATGAGCTTGACGTGCTATAAACATTGTACATTTATAATGTTTATACCATGCCCAGGTCAGTTATAACAACATTGAATGCTCTGAAATGACACATTATCTAAAGTTTACTTATCAGTATAGGTCGCACGACTAGATCAACATGTCTCTTAAATCCACAAAGAGATATTTGGCCATTTTTAAAAATAAGTAAAGTCAGATTTATCGAATCTATACAACGAGACATGTTTACAATCAATAAGTTTGAGTTATGAATTCAGTGCTTGTCACTCCCCTTATACGTGTATAATTCATTTATAAAATGTTATGGAATGGACGAGCAGACATTCCTTTTTGAGAAAAACAAGTCACAAATGGGCAAGTCCATTCTGAAGTGTCATTCTCAACGTCTGTTCAAGTATTCTCATAGTGAAAACCCATAAAGATTGCGTTATTATCATGCTACTGGTGATAGTGTAAAACAGTATATAGATGATACAGGTGTTATAGATAATAGAGGTGTTATAGATGATAAAGGTGTTATAGATGATACAGGTGTTATAGATGATACAGGTGTTATAGATAATAGAGGTATTATAGATGATACAGGTGTTATAGATAATAGAGGTGTTATAGATGATAAAGGTGTTATAGATGATACAGGTGTTATAGATAATAGAGGTGTTATAGATGATAGAGGTGTTATAGATGATAAAGGTGTTATATATGATAGAGGTGTTATAGATGATAGAGGTGTTATAGATGATAAAGGTGTTATAGATGATAGAGGTGTTATAGATGATAGAGGTGTTATAGATGGTAAAGGTATTATATATGATAGAGGTGTTATAGATGATAGAGGTGTTATAGATGATAGAGGTGTTATAGATGATAGAGGTGTTATATATGATAGAGGTGTTATAGATGATAGAGGTGTTATATATGATAGAGGTGTTATAGATGATAAAAGTGTTATAGATGATAGAGGTGTTATAGATGATAGAGGTGTTATATATGATAGAGGTGTTATAGATGAAAGAGGTGTTATAGATGATAGAGGTGTTATAGATGATAAATGTGTTATTGATGATAAAGGTGTTATATATGATAAAGGTGTTATAGATGATACAGGTGTTATAGATGATACAGGTGTTATAGATGATAGAGGTGTAATAGATGATAGAGGTGTTATAGATGGTAAAGGTGTTATATATGATAGAGGTGTTATAGATGAAAGAGGTGTTATAAATGATAAATGTGTTATAGATGATAGAGGTGTTATAGATGATAGAGGTGTTATTGATGATAAAGGTGTTATATATGATAGAGGTGTTATAGATGATAGAGGTGTTATAGATGATATAGGTGTTATAGATGATAGAGGTGTTAAAGATGATAAATGTGTTATAGATGGTAAAGGTGTTATTGATGATAAAGGTGTTATTGATGATAAAGGTGTTATTGATGGTAAAGGTGTTATAGATGATAAAGGTGTTATAGATGGTAAAGGTGTTATTGATGATAAAGGTGTTATATATGATAAAGGTGTTATAGATGATAGAGGTGTTATAAATGATAAAGGTGTTATAGATGAACGAGGTGTTATAGATGATAAAGGTGTTATTGATGATAAAGGTGTTATAGATGATAAAGGTGTTATAGATGATAAAGGTGTATAGATGAAAAATGTGTTATAGATGATAGAGGTGTTATAAATGATAGAGGTGTTATAGATGATAAAGGTGTTATAGATGATAAAGGTGTAATAGATGATACATGTGTAATAGATGATAAAGGTGTTATAGATTATAAAGGTGTTATTGATGATAAAGGTGTTATTGTTGATACAGGTGTTATAGATGATAAAGGTGTCATTGTTGATAAAGGTGTTATTGTTGATAAAGGTGTTATAGATGATAAGGTGTTATTGTTTTTAAAGGTGTTATAGATGATAAAGGTGATATTGTAGATGATAAAGGTGATATTGTAGATGATAAAGGTGCTAAAGATGATAAAGGTGTAATAGATGATACATATGTAATAGATGATAAAGGTGCTAAAGATGATAAAGGTGTAATAGATGATACATGTGGAATAGATGATACATGTGTAATAGATGATACATGTGGAATAGATGATACATGTGGAATAGATGATACATGTGGAATAGATGATAAAGGGGTGTTATAGATGATAAAGGTGTTATAGATGATAAAGGTGTTATATATGATAAGGTGTTATTAATGTTAAAGGTGTTATAGATGATAAAAGTGTTATAGATGATAAAGTCGTTATAGATGATAAAGGTGTTATTGTTGATACAGGTGTTATAGATGATAAATGTGTTATTGTTGATAAAGGTGTTATAGATGATAAAGTTGTTATTGTTGATACAGGTGTTATTGTTGATACAGGTGTTATAGATAATAAAGGTGTTATTGTTGATACAGGTGTTATAGATAATAAAGGTGTTATTGTTGATACAGGTGTTATAGATGATAAAGGTGTTGTAGATAATAAATGTGTTATTGTTGATACAGGTGTTATAGATGATAAAGGTGATATTGTAGATGATAAAGGTGTTATAGATGATAAAGGTGTTATTGGTGATAAAGGTGTTATAGATGATAAAGTTGTTATAGATGGTAAAAGTGTTATTGATGATAAAGGTGTTATAGATGATAAAGGGGTTATAGATGATAAAGGTGTTATAGATGATAAAGGTGTTATTGATGTTAAGGGTGTTAAAGAACATAAAGGTGTTATAGATGATAAAGGTGTTATTGATGTTAAAGGTGTTATAGATGATAAAGGTGTTATAGATGATAAGGTGTTATTGTTTTTAAAGGTGTTATAGATGATAAAGGTGCTATAGATGCTAAAGGTGTTATTGTTGATACAGGTGTTATAGATGATAAAAGTGTTATAGATGATAAAGGTGTTATAGATGATAAGGTGGTATTAATGTTAAAGGTGTTATAGATGATAAAAGTGTTATAGATGATAAAGGTGTTATAGATGATAAGGTGTTATTGTTTTTAAAGGTGTTATAGATGATAAAGGTGCTATAGATGATAAAGGTGTTATTGTTGATACAGGTGTTATAGATGATAAAGGTGTTATTGTTGATACAGGTGTTATAGATGATAAAAGTGTTATAGATGATAAAGGTGTTATAGATGATAAGGTGGTATTGTTGATACAGGTGTTATTGTTGATACAGGTGTTATTGTTGATAAAGGTGTTATTGGTGATAAAGGTGTTATAGATGATAAAGGTGTTATAGATGATAAAGGTGTTATAGATGATAAAGGTGTTATAGATGATAAAGGTGTTATTGTTGATACAGGTGTTATAGATGATAAATGTGTTATTGTTGATAAAGGTGTTATAGATGATAAAGTTGTTATTGTTGATAAAGGTGTTATTGTTGATACAGGTGTTATAGATAATAAAGGTGTTATTGTTGATACAGGTGTTATAGATGATAAAGGTGTTGTAGATAATAAATGTGTTATTGTTGATACAGGTGATATGGATGATAAAGGTGATATTGTTGATGATAAAGGTGTTATAGATGATAAAGGTGTTATTGGTGATAAAGGTGTTATAGATGATAAAGTTGTTATTGTTGATACAGGTGTTATAGATGATAAATGTGTTATAGATGATAAAGGGGTTATAGATGATAAAGGTGTTATAGATGATAAAGGTGTTATTGATGAAAAAGGTGTTATTGATGATAAAGGTGTTATAGATGATACAGGTGTTATAGATGGTACAGGTGTTATAGATGATAAAGGTGTTGTAGATGATAAAGGTGTTACAGATAGTAAAGGTGTTATAGATGATAAAGGTGTTATTGATGATAAAGGTGCTATAGATGATAAAGGTGTTATTGATGGTGAAGGTGTTATAGCTGATAAAGGTGTTATATATGATAAAGGTGTTATAGATGGTACAGGTGTTATTGGTGATAAAGGTGTTATTGATGATAAAGGTGTTATTGTTGATAAAGGTGTTATTGGTGATAAAGGTGTTATTGTTGATAAAGGTGTTATAGATGGTAAAGGTGTTATATATGATAAAGGTGTTATAGATGATAAAGGTGTTATAGATCGTAAAGGTGTTATTGATGATACAGGTGTTATAGATGATAAATGTGTTATAGATGGTAAAGGTGTTATAGATGATAAAGGTGTTATTGTTGATACATGTGTTATAGATGATAAAGGTGTTATTGTTGATACAGGTACCGGTGTTATTGATGATAAAGGTGTTATTGTTGATAAAGGTGTTATAGATGGTAAAGGTGTTATAGATGATAAATGTGTTGTTGGTGATAGAGGTGTTATAGATGATAAAGGTGTTATTGGTGATAAAGGTGTTATTGTTGATAAAGGTGTTATTGGTGATAAAGGTGTTATTGGTGATAAAGGTGTTATTGATGATAAAGGTGTTATAGATGGTAAAGGTGTTATAGATGACAAAGGTGTTATTGTTGATACATGTGTTATAGATGATAAAGTTGTTATTGTTGATACAGGTGTTATTGTTGATACAGGTGTTATAGACAATAAAGATGTTATTGTTGATACAGGTGTTATAGATGATAAAGATGTTATTGTTGATACAGGTGTTATAGATGATAAAGATGTTATTGTTCATACAGGTGTTATAGATGATAAAGGTGTTATTGATGATAAAGGTGTTATAGATGGTAAAGGTGTTATATATGATAAAGGTGTTATAGATGATACAGGTGTTATAGATGATAAAGGTGTTATTGATGATAAAGGTGTTATTGGTGATAAAGGTGTTATAGATGATAAAGGTGTTATTGGTGATAAAGGTGGACTATAGACACCTTATTCAGTGTATCTTATTTGTTCCTCTATAAAGATGTTATCGAGACACCTTAATCAGTGTATCTTATTTGTTACTCTATAAAGGTGTATTATAGACACCTTAATCAGTGTATCTGATTTGTTACTCTATAAAGGTGTTATTATAGACACCTTAATCAGTGTATCTGATCTGTTACTCTATAAAGGTGTTATTATAGACACTTTAATCAGTATATCTGATTTGTTACTCTATAAAGGTGTATTATAGACACCCTAATCAGTGTATCTGATTTGTTACTCTATAAAGGTGTTATTATAGACACCTTAATCAGTGTATCTGATTTGTTACTCTATAAAGGTATATTATAAACACCTTAATCAGTGTATCTGCCTTATAACCCCAGCCACGCTGATTGTAGGACATTTGCGTTTGTCGGCAAATTCAAAATGCGCATGTCAACGCTAAAGCTGTATATTAACTTTCAATTTATTCGATTTCATTTCATCAGATGGTAATTCCTTTCTAAAAGCATTGTGACCTCAGACACAATGTTAACGGTCAGTAGACGGATATGTAGTCTGTGTTCCAATCAATATGACACAATTCAACCAGATGTCCGTTCAGTCCATCCATCCCTTGGTACAATATCACAACCCAGTGGATGGGTGGATAGAACAGTCAGCACACTAGATCTAGTCAACGGTTTAGTCACAATAAAAAAGAACATATGAGATATGAATAGGAAGTTTAATTCTAAAAAAATGATCATTGCATATCATTACAAAAATATACAGGTATTTTTCTGATTATTGGAATGTAATAATGATAAAGCCAATGGGAACCAACTCATTAATGTTCTTATACAGACAAAGCAAACAATATTTAATGTTCGTATAAATATAAAAAAAGACATTGATTGGAAGTTAACGCATGCATGGATTTCTGCACAAACTATTTTTTAAAAAGAAGACAACACCACAAGTCGGCTTTAACATGACGTTTTAGTCATATATGTATGAACTTACTATATAGGTAAAGTGAATTACATCATGTAAAACTGAAACCTTATGGACTTTCTATTTTGTAAGTGAATTACGTTATATATAGCTATACATTTATGATTTTCTATCCTAAAACTGTATAACATTGATAAAACTACGGCTCCTGGACTTTTTATAGTGAATTACGTTATACTTAGCTCTAGATTTCCCGTCTACAGTAGACTTGTACAACACTATGTACTTCAATAGAGTCTGTGACTACCTGTTATTGATCATATCATGCATAACTTTTGCACTAGTTTCTGGTTTGTCAAGTAAAACTTTGTTCTTATTTTTGATTACTTAATCACTATATATTTATTTTAGTAACTTTTGAAAAGTCGGTAACCTTTAATGAACTGTTTGGTTATAGCACGAGAACATAACAGTTATAAATTGAAATACAGTGTTTACGGCACGAATTGGCATAGATATTTGAAAATGCACAATTATAACATCAAATAATAAATACAAATAAATGATATATTACAGAAACGCTCACATTTACATCACTTATTGCGTGCCATATGTGTCGATAATGTCGAATAAGTCTTAACACGTGCAGGGTATGAAAGGATAGCTAAGAACTTGTACAATCATAATTATGTAACTGTATAGTAGAACGAGCCAGGTAATCATATCCTGATGATAAGCGAGTTAACCAGCTATTGAGTACGAAACTAAAATGTACAAACTAAAATGTAAGAAATAATTCCAGATATAAAACGTATTTTACTGACTAGCGAATAGACCTGTCCGGACAAATTCTTGGCTGTTTACGAAACAAAGAATCTCATAAAACACACACACATCAACAATATGGATATTAAATATCACACAAGCTTACTATAATGACACTTTGTTCATTCATATGTTATAATAAACAGTTTAACCTAAATGACTAGCTAATTAACACATTGGTAGTTAAATATCTGTCCAGCAGATAATATAATGATTACGACATTAGATGTCAAAAGAGACAATCACAACGTAGTCTGTTGTCTTTACCTAATAGTAATAAAGACCCTGTTGTGAACGACACAATAGAACAGAGGAAACCGACGTCATTATTGTTGGTATTATACAATGTCCCACACGACACCAAGACAATAATATCAACATCTTGTATAAAGAAGACACACGCTTAACAGACTACAAACATAAATTACGAGCCAGATTATGATAAACATATTACTTTCGTATCCGAATATCTGTGTGCTGCTACGTCCGTTAATGACAGGTATGACCCTGTATATTATGTCTAGTAGGCACTAATACAATGTGTCAAAAAAAGGTACAATGACCGACAGAAACTTGTTAAAAAATACAAACGTGGGACATATATTTTGTGTATGACTCAGCGTCATTAAACAAGAATTAAATTAACAGAAACATGAAATTATGCACAAAAATCTTGATTCATTATAAGTAGAAATGTACGCAGTATCGTAGGCAAGGGAGGTAAGCACAGTGGATTTAAATAGAAACGTGATGAACAAAAGATGACAATGTAACAAATGAAAGCCCGGAATACATAAGGATAATTATATATACGACTGACTATACGGGACGAGGACAACAAATCACCGTCATATATTATTTGAGCTCCGCATTGATCATCTGGTACACGTCTACAAACATAACCTATGTATAAGCTATAAAACGATACTAACACATACCAAAACTCTCGTCCGACCATACCTCCCCAAGGAGTGGCAGACCCAGAAACTCATCTGCAAAGGATTCCGAATGATCCTTCGAGGGTTTCCATAGAGAGAAATTGGGAAAATACATGTTGTTGTAAAAGGCGTGCTGTGGGATGACCGACGCCCTGGAAGCTCTCCTAGGTCGGCCACTGTAGTGATATCGACTAAACATTGTCACCAAATCACGTACAAACGGGAAGTGTTTGCTATACAAACAATAGGTTAAAAAATAAAATTTATAATCACGATCACAAAACGACCACCGTCATCTGTTGTCATTTTGTTTCATGGCTAAGGCTCAACAAGCAGAAATAACACATATCCCTATAATGACTGTTTAAAATCATGGAATCAGTCCAAAATGAATCCAAACACTCTCACATATGAAGTGAAATAAACTGAATAAAGCGATTAATTGGAAAATGAAAAATTGTATGTTTTTGGCGTAAAGGTGATGATCTCCCATCTCGGCTATTGTATGGTCAGGAGACTCTCAGGTAAAGCGTTGTAATGGTCCTCTTCTCCTCACACACTGGATGTAAGACATCTCTCCGTCACGCATTCTCGTAGATCGCTGAAAAGAAAAATACATATTTACACCTACTGAAATACATCATGATAAGAGCTTGGCACAAATCCACCTCTTGTTCTTCTTCCAATTTCTTTGAATGTTTGATTGACTTTGATTTTGCGATTTACGTTTTCTATAAAATGAAATTAGGTGAACCACGTATGGTTTCTGTAAAACTGAGCGAAATGGAAAGAAAACTGTGAATGAACAAGTAATATTGACATATGACAACGGCAATCCTTAGAAACCAACGGATGCTAAATCGGGCTGAGGAGTCGCTGGTGACTACAGACGACAGAGCCAAACACGAGCATATTTATCTATACTTAATAGCGGCTTTCGATAAACATAAACAACCCACTGAAAACGTACAACACACTGCTATCAAACAGTGTGATTGATTTAGAACCCGCCATAGACAGGAAACAACAAGGAGGAAAGTTAATGGAGAATGTCGAAATAGATGAAAGTTACAAGGAAGTGTACTAATAATATCTAATCTATGCTTACAATATATATCAACGACTTACCAGAATTCTTTAGATTAAAGCCTTTCTGTCGCCTCCGACATCAAACTATACAATAGTGACAACTTTGCTTCTCAATTTCACTCCGTATAACTGAAGAGTTCTTAGCACGCAAAACAAAAATTCCCAACACTCCAACCCGTCAAAACCAGATTGAAAGACATACAACGCCGAAGAGGCAAGGGGAATCTGAGCCGTGCGCCGAGAAATCCTGGCAGAAGGGAGATAACGCTAACGGGACCAAACAAAACACAATCCAACATAAAGGCTTTTAACTATGGATAACCTATAGTTATAAACTGTCCGTCAGGCCTTACCGACCCGGAAAGTATAGTAGGGTAGAGGGGGATTTAAAATGTACTAAGGAAGGATTGATGTTACTCATACTTCTTCTTTTCCCCCTAAAGTATGAATATCAACACAAAAAAACAGCATTTCTTTACACCTGATTTCAAGCATTTGATGAACATTGTAATTCTTAAAAAAGGGACGTAAATCAGAAAAAATGAAATGTCTATAATATATGAATGCCTTTCTCCCCTGAAGTGTCACGTTTGACAAATTTCTGTAAATAGTAACGACCGCTGACCTTGACATTTTGGTGAAATACGAACCCTGAAGTATTCTTATGTTGATTATTGTATAAAGTTTGATGAAATCTGTCAAGCTGCTGGACTGATATCACTGGATTCGTTGATAAATGGATACAGATAGAAATTGTGACCCTTGACTTTTGAACCCTGAACCATGATTTCATTAAAAGTATTCTCAAACTCTACCTTTATATACTGTTTGACCAAAAGCTATTAAGAAATAGCTACAGCGATAAACCGGGATACAGCACACGAAGAGGCGGGACGGACTAGGGTACCCCCCATTCCCACCTTCCGTCTTTGACTTTTCCCGTCTAATTAGATCTGTGGACATATCTTGTAGCACTGCATCTTTTCTAGGAGACATTAGTATTGAAAAGAATGTTTATATATTCTTAAAACCGCCTCAAAATATGAAAGTAATTGCTACTTAGATGTATATTGCTGAAGATCAACAAAGGAAGCATCTCAAGAACAGGACGTGTTCCTGAGGATACTCACGTTCGCAATTGTCCTCGTCTTCCTCGTCTTCCTCTTCCTCTTCTTCATCCTCATCAGATGAGAGGAAGTCCTTGATGCACTCGTGTATGAATATGTACTGATCCTACAACATATAATATCATTTCCATGTCTTCTTTTGAGATCGAACCCAACATATAAACTTATCTAATAACACGATACGTTCGGTTAATATCAGTTAAACGAAATGCAAAACCAAATTAACAGTTTCCTACAGAAACAACTTAATAAGAAGTCTTACCTCTGTTTGTACCATGTTTGGGCGTTCGTTACGCATGCCCAGTACCATATTGAAGATATCCACTTCCTGATGTCCGGCGTTCAGCTTCTGTATCAGGTGATCCACAGCGATAAACGTCCCCGTACGGCCCACACCAGCACTACGGAGTATCAGACACGAGTTGAACAATGGAAATAAACAGTTAGATAAAGTTTGATTCTAAATAAACTTTTATAAAGTCCAGTTTATTCTATCTATCAAGGCACTATATCATAGCAAAATAATTATGATAGTGTTAATATGTCTTTATATAGATCGTTATTGGAAACATACCATTATAATATCAGTGTCCTGGTTATGACTAATTATCAATTAAAATTCATGTAATAGAATCGGTGGTATTTAATTTCTCAAGAGTAATAATGATTTATGCTGTTTTAAATGAAAGAGAATGTCTGAGAAGCCATTACCTGCAGTGGACAACAATCGGACCATGCAGAGAGGGATTTTTGTGTTTACGACACGACTCCACGAAATGGAGCATGCTATTGGAGGTTGTAGGCGTTCCCATGTCAGGCCATGCTAGGTACAGAAGTTGCTTGACCTGCCTCTGGATGTCCCCCTGTTCAGTATAATGCAAAGCTAGGTATTTACCATTGAAATCTCAGAATAATTAGGGAAGCTACATAGAGATATTCGATTTAAATTTTCGCAAGCTGCAAATACAGATGATATGTATAAGCTGAACAATAAGAGTGTTCACGATAAACCCCCTCAAAACAGGCCAGAGTCAACCGCCAATCATGATATAATGAGCTAAGTAAGCAGGGTATGTACATAGTAGGAAGCGAGACAACATTGAGGATGAACAACAGTACCATGCTGGGCCATTGGGGATGAACAACAGTGCCATGCTGGGCCATTGCGGATGAACAACAGTACCATGCTGGGCCGCCGAGGACTAACATCATTACCATGCTGGGCCATTGAGGATGAACAACAGTACCATGCTGGGCCATTGCGGATGAATAACAGTACCATGCTGGGCCATTGCGGATGAACAACAGTACCATGCTGGGCCGCCGAGGACTAACATCATTACCATGCTGGGCCATTGAGGATGAATAACAGTACCATGCTGGGCCTGTGACCCCGTGTTCTAACGTACGTCATGCTGGGCCTGTGACCCCGTGTTCTAACGTACGACATGCTGGGCCTGTGACCCCGTGTTCTAACGTACGTCATGCTGGGATTCACTATCATTCTACGACAAACAGTATTACACGTACACCAGGGCGGCAATTTAACCATAACACACCCTGCACTATGCACGTCACTGGTCATAAACATACAATGCGCCCTGACCATGGATGTAAAAGTATATACAAGCATCAGGGAATGTTCATGCCTTCCTGGGATGTATCACTGGGGATTTAGTATATTCTTAGGGTCTGTGTAGTCCTGGACCTAATACCTGCAGTGCACCACTATAGGACCAGGGTTCTGGTGAGGCATAAAGAGCCGTACGTCCTGTACGAAGTTTAGCAGGAGCCATGATGTATCAGGGCAGCCCATGTCAGGCCACTTCAGGTAGTGAACCTGCTTCATCTTCTTCTTCCTGTTGTTCTGCATGAGCGGCATATCGTATATTGACACAGTTTACTTTATATATATATATATATCTAACTTTCAGTAATCTCATCAGAGCTTTCCTTCTATTTCGGACGCCATTGTTGAGTATGACATAAAAACTCAACTTAAAAAAAGTCGAAATCCACTATGTATCAGTTCGTGTAAAGGAAAGTGATTGGTTCTTAATATTCAATTGACATCCAATTATTCAACTATTCTTTCTGAAATACAATTCATCAAGTTTAAAACGTCAAATGATGTAAAAATCTTAATGTTTACATGATAGTCGTGTTCGTCGATGATAACGTATGACTCAGAACCTGATGACGCCATTAATGTAGTAACAACTTGATGACACGAGTTACGTACTTATAACCATCTTCATAGTGATGACGAGGATGGCATACTTACCAACTGCAAACTGATAACCCGGATAACGTAGTCAGGCAGATTGGATTCGGAGTCGATGCGGACGATAAGGTCCCCGAAATAGAATGGTTCGGATACAACTTCCGGCCAGTATTGGTCACACTTCCTCTGTACACAACACAGAAAAACCATTAATGTTAATGTGACGTCATACTTCCTCTGTGCACAACACAGAAAAACAATTAATGTTAATTTGACGTCATACTTCCTCTGTGGACAACACAGAAAAACAATTAATATTAATGTGACGTCATACTTCCTCTATACACAACACAGAAACACAATTAATGTTAATGTGATGTCATGCTTCCTCTGAACACAACACAGAAACACAATTAATGTTAATGTGACGTCATACTTCCTCTGTGCACAACACAGAAAAACAGTTAATGTTAATGTGACGTCATACTTCCTCTGTACACAACACAGAAAAATAATTAATGTTAATGTGACATCATACTTCCTCTGTATACAACACAGAAAAACAATTAATGTTAATGTGACGTCATACTCCCTCTGAACACAACACAGAAACACAATAATGTTAATGTGGCGTCATACTTCCTCTGTAAACAACACAGAAACACAATTTATGTTAATGTGACGTCATACTTTCTCTGTATACAACACAGAAAAACAATTAATGTTAATGTGACGTCATACTTCCTCTGTACACACCACAGAAACACAATTTATGTTAATGTGACGTCATACTTCCTCTGTATACAACACAGAAAAACAATTAATGTTAATGTGACGTCATACTCCCTCTGAACACAACACAGAAACACAATTTATGTTAATGTGACGTCATACTTCCTCTGTATACAACACAGAAAAACAATTAATGTTAATGTGACGTCATACTGCCTCTGAACACAACACAGAAACACAAGTTATGTTAATGTGACGTCATACTTCCTCTGTACACAACACAGAAACAAAATAATGTTAACGTAAAGTCTTACTTCCTCTGTACACAACACAAACACAATTAATGATTATGTGACGTCATTATTCCTCTTTACAGAACACAGTAACTCAATTAATGTTAATGTGACGTCATAATTCCTCTGTACACAACACAAACACAATTATTGATTATGTGACGTCATTCTTACTTTGTACACAACACCGAAAAACGATTAATGTTAATGTGACGTCCTACTCCCTCTGAACACAACACAGAAACACAATTTATGTTAATGTGACGTCATACTTCCTCTGTACACAACACAGAAGCACAATTTAAAATTAATGTTAATGTGATGTCATACTTCCTCTGTACACAACACAGAAACACAATTTATGTTAATGTGACGTCATACTTCCTCTGTACACAACACAGAAACACAGTTTATGTTAATGTGACGTCATACTTCCTCTATACACAACACAGAAACACATTTGATGTTAATGTGATTGCATACTTCCTCTGTACACAACACAGAAACACAATAATGTTAATGTGGCGTCATACTTCCTCTGTACACAACACAGAAACACAATTTATGTTAATGTGACGTCATACTTCCTCTATACACAACACAAAAACACAATTTATATTAATGTGACGTCATACTTCCTCTGTACACAACACAGAAACACATTTAATGTTAATGTGATTGCATACTTCCTCTGTACACAACACAGAAACACAATTTATGTTAATGTGACGTCATCACTCCTCTATACTCAACACAGAAAGACAATTAATGTTAATGTGACGTCATTCTTCCACTGTACACAACACAGAAACACAATTAATGTTAATGTGACGTCATACTCCCTCTGTACACAACACAGAAACACAATTTATGTTAATGTGACGTCATACTTCCTCTATACTCAACACAGAAACACAATTAATGTTAATGTGACGTAATACTTCCTCTGTGCACAACCCAGAAACACAATTAATGTTAATTTGACATCATACTTTATCTGTACACAACACAGTAACTCAATTTATGTTATTGTGTCGTCATTCTTCCTATGAACACAAAACAGAAACACAATTCATGTTTATGTGACGTCATTCTTCTTCTGTACACAGCACAGAAACTAAATAAAATTTTATTGACACATCATACGTCCTCTGTATAAAACACAGAAACACAATTATTGTTAATGTGACGTCATACTTCCTCTGTACACAAATCAGAAACACAATTATTGTTAATGTGACGTCATACTTCCTCTGTACACAAATCAGAAACACAATTAATGTTTATGTGACGTCATTCTTCCTCTGTACATAACACAGAAACAAAATAATGTTGACGTAAAGTCTTACTTCCTCTGTACACAACACAAACACAATTAATGATTATGTGACGTCATTATTCCTCTTTACAGAACACAGTAACTCAATTAATGTTAATGTGACGTCATAATTCCTCTGTACACAACACAAACACAATTATTGATTATGTGACGTCATTCTTACTTTGTACACAACACAGGAACTCAATTAATGTTAATGTGACGTCATTCTTCCTCTGTACACAACACAGATAGACAATTAATGGTTATGTGGTATCATACTTCCTCTGTACATAACACAGAAACTCAATTAATGTTACTGTGACGTCATACTTCCTCTGTACACAACACAGAAACACATTTAATGTTAATGTGATGTCATACTTTCTCTGTACACAACACAGAAACACATTTAATGTTAATGTGATTGCATACTTCCTCTGTACACAACACAGAAACTCAATTAATGTTACTGTGACGTCATACTTCCTCTGTACACAACACAGAAACACAATTAATGTTAATGTGATGTCATACTTTCTCTGTACACAACACAGAAACATACTTAATTTTAATGTGATGTCATACTTCCTCTGTACACAACACAGAAAGTCAATTAATGTTGATGTGACGTCATACTAATGCAAGGCAAATTAAATGAGGTTATAATTTGAACCCATTTATCTTCTCACTTATTGTGTCCATCATCACTATATCACTGTCTGACTGAGGTAACAATACATAATCTCCTTTCTTCACTAACTATGTCAACATCACTATCTCACTGACTGACGTATTTTAAAATACGTACCCTTTCGCTCTTCACTAACTGTGTCAACATCACTTTCTCACTGACTGACGTAACAATACGTACCCTTCCTCTCTTCACTAACTGTGTCAACATCACTATCGCACTGACTGACGTAACAATACGTACCCTTCCCCTCTCCACTTACTGTGTCAACATCACTATCTCACTGACTGACGTAACAATACGTACCCTTCCTCTCTCCACTAACTGTGTCAACATCACTATCTAACTGAATGACGTAACAATACGTACCCTTCCTCTCTCCACTTACTGTGTCAACATCACTATGTCACGGACTGGCGTAACAATATGTACCCTTCCTCTCTCCATTAACTGTGTCAACATCACTATGTCACGGACTGACGTAACAATACGTACCCTAACTGTGTAAACATCACTTTCTCACTGACTGACGTAACAATATGTACCCTTCCTCTCTCCACCAACTGTGTCAACATCACTATGTCACGGACTGACGTAACAATACGTACCCTAACTGTGTAAACATCACTTTCTCACTGACTGACGTAACAATACGTACCCTTCCTCTCTCTCCACTATCTGTGTCAACATCACTTTCTCACTGACTCACGTAACAATACGTACCCTTCCTCTCTTCACTTACTGTGTCAACATCACTTTCTCACTGACTGACGTAACAATACGTACCCTTCCTCTCTCCACTAACTGTGTCAACATCACTATGACGCTGACGTTCTGTTCCCAGATCATCCTCCAGAAGTCGTCCTTGGTACACACCAGAGGTCCTTGAGCGGCAATGTATTCTCGCTTTGAATTGTGGCCCTAAAGTACACGTTACAATATTAGTTATATATCAATTAAAAGACAGGATATCCGGGACAAACATGACAAATCTACCCATTAAAGTAGAAGCTATGCTCCCATGTAGCACCCTAACACACCAACAGTGTTTGATATAGGACTATGTCTGAGACAACGTATAAACATTACTCTGTATAGTTTCCATATGAATAGATTTGCAAACTTAGTAGATTTTGAGCAATATTTCGTATGCCAAAATTAATTTTACCTCATATTGTAATAAATGTTAAATCGAATACATACAGGAACACATATCAGAGCTAGATAACTGTTTAGACAGGAAACGTACAGGAATGTAGTTTGCGTTGATGTAGTCTGAGCCGTCTTCTTCATCCAACGGTAAAAGTTTCACTCGACTGTGGTCAACTGCATTAACCAAAACAAAACAGTTTACAAAAAATACAACGACTTTACCACAATGTAGAACTAGATGTGTAAAGTGCTACCTACATGTGTCTGGATAATGACTTTACCAGAATCTAGATATAGACGTGTAAAGTGCTACCTACATGTGTCTGGAGAATGACTTTACCAGAATCTAGAAATAGACATGTAAGGTACTGCCTACATGTGTCTGGAGAATGACGTTACCAAATTATAGAAATAGACATGTAAAGTACTGCCTACATGTGTCTGGATAATGACTTTACAAGAATCTAGATATAGACATGTAAAGTGCTACCTACATGTGTCTGGATAATGACTTTACCAGAATCTAGATATAGACGTGTAAAGTGCTACCTACATGTGTCTGGGGAATGACTTTACCAGAATCTAGAAATAGACATGTAAAGTGCTACCTACATGTGTCTGGATAATGACTTTACCAGAATCTAGAAATAGACGTGTAAAGTGCTACCTACATGCGTCTGGAGAATGACTTTACCAGAATCTAGATATAAACATGTAAAGTGCTACCTACATGTGTCTGGAGAATGACTTTACCAGAATCTAAATATAGACAGGTAAAGTGCTACCTACATGTGTCTGGAGAATTACTTTACCAGAATATAGAAATAGAGATGTAAAGTCCTCCCTACATGTGTCTTGAGAATGACTTTACCAGAATCCAGATATAGACATGTAAAGTGCTACCTACATGTGTCTGGAGAATGACTTTACCAGATTATAGAAAAAGACGTGTAAAGTACTACCTACACGTGTCTGGAGAATTACTTTACCAGAATCTAGAAATAGAGATGTAAATTACTGCCTACATGTGTCCTGATAATGACTTTACCAGAATCTAGACATGTGTTTGGAGAATTACTTTACCAGAATATAGAAATAGAGATGTAAAGTCCTACCTACAGGTGTCTGGAGAATGACTTTACCAGAATCTAGATATAGACGTGTAAAGTGCTACCTTCATGTGTCTGGAGAATGACTTTACCAGATTATAGAAAAAGACGTGTAAAGTACTACCTACACGTGTCTGGAGAATTACTTTACCAGAATCTAGAAATAGGGATGTAAATTACTGCCTACATGTGTCCTGATAATGACTTTACCAGAATCTAGACATGTGTTTGGAGAATGACTTTACCAGAATATAGAAATAGAGATGTAAAGTGCTACCTACATGTGGCTGGAGAATGACTTTACCATAATCTATAAATCAACATGTGAAGTGCTACCTACATGTGTCTGGAGAATGACTTTACCAGAATCTAGATATAGACATGTAAAGTGCTACCTACATGTGTCTGGAGAATGACTTTACC